GGATGAGGACACATTTGTAATACCTTAACCAATAAAGAAATTAAAGATAAAAAAAAAAAAGCTGATGAATACCAGCCCTGTGGAAGGATTTCCCATCTTCCCTCAGTCTTAGCCCTCTGATCTGATGGAGACACACATCTGTCCCCCTTCCCCACTCCCACCCAACACATTGCATACCACCCTCCCAGGCTGCACGCACGCACACACACACACAACCCAAATGCCCACTCATCATTCCTGGCCCCGGACCTTCACCAGGCGGGTTTGAGCCCAACGGCTGATGAACAGAGGTTTCTGTCGGTTGGGTCTGAAGATGTAGGCACCTGAGGCCTGGGAGCTTAGATTGTTTCCTGTACTGGCGTTGTACCTGGGGCCAGAAAAGGTAAGTGTCAGGTAAGAGACCCCAGCTCTCCTCCCAGCCCCTCCCTGGCCTGGTGGTCATCCCTCACCAGTAGAAGGCTTGGCGAACAGGCAGCAGGAGGTGCTGCTCCAGGTTCTTCATCTCCACCAAGAGCCCCGTGTCAGGGTCGAAGCTGGCCGAGATGTACTGGGCAGAAGAGGGTGGACAGATGTTAATGACCATCGCTTCAGCCAAGGGCAATTTCCTCCTTCCTGGGACTCAGGAGAAAACCCTAGAGTCACTCTCCCCTCCTCTCTCTTGCTCACTCTTCACTCCTGACCCTACTGGCAAATCCTAATAGCTCCACCTTCTACCTTATCATCAGTCTGCCCTCTTCTGACCATCTCCCAGGCCTTCCTGGACTAGTGAGTGCGGCTGACCAATTCCTAGTCTCCGGGTCTTGTTTCAGACCAAAGGGTCACAGGTTTGATTCCGGTCAAGGGCACATACATCAGTTGCAGGCTGGATCCCTGGGCCTGGGCACATGGGGGAGGCAACAATCAATGTGTCTCTTTCACAATGATTCTCTCTCTCTGTCTCTCCCCCTCCCTTCCACTCTCTCTAAAATCAATCGGAGAAAAAATATCTTCAGGTGAGGATTAACACAAAAAAAGGAAATTTATAAATTTTAATTTATTTTAGGGCTTTTGTCTGCTGCTCCCTCACTGCCTGGATTCCTCTTCCCCCAAAATGTACTCCAAGTGGCCTTCACTTAATTTGCAGGCCCCTACCACCATCAGCTTTGACTGTCATCTGTCAAGTCACACCAGTCCCTCAAAACAGCCCCGGGAGAGAACATTGAAACTCAAAGGAAGGCAGTCACTCACTCAAGGACACACAATGGGGGGTGGTGACATTAGACCATGAACCCAAGATCTGCTGACCCAGAGGTCAGCTCACTATGACATCTCAAACTTGTCGCTGGGGCAGAGAAGGGGATCTGAATGGGTTCTCACCTCATTTTGGATGGTCAAGACACGGGACGAGGGCTTGACCCGAGATGAGGACTTGATCCAAGATAAGGACTTCTGGAATCTGGGCTCAGGGCGGTCAGCCCGTGGGCTCCTGCCAGGTACCTGGGTTACTGAGTAGATGCTGAAGCCAAGGGCAGGCACTGAGGCTGAGAAAAGCAGCTCCTGTACATCTGAGCTGGGCATTGTCACCACCTCAGGACAGGGAGAAGGGAATCTGAGTCAAGAGGCTGTGGGTACACATATGGAGGCGTATATACAGGGAGGGGTCACACTCCAGAAGGGGAAGGAGTCCCAGGACAGGGAGAAGAAATGCAGGTGTTGGGCGGGATAATGAGGGGGGGAGGGAATTCTGGGTTCAAGATTGCAGAGAAGCCCTAGCCGGTTTGGCTCAGTGGATAGAGCGTCAGCCTGCAAACTGAAAGGTCCCAGGTTTGATTCTGGTCAAGGGCACATGCCCGAGTTCTGGGCTCGATCCCAGTGAGGGACTTGCATGAGGCAGCCGATCCATGATTCTCTCTCATCATAGATGTTTCTCTCTCTCTCTCCCTCTTCCTTCCTCTCTGAAATCAATAAAAATAAAAAATAAAAAGATTGCAGAGAAGATTCAGTAATAGAAAACAACCCATAGGGAGGGTAGAGAGACTGTAGGAAGGGGGAGAAGTGAGGGAATAAGTGGGGGAAGAGATCTTTCAGGCAGAGGAGTGAGGGAAAAACAAGATTCCTGGGGGAGGAAGAGGTTCGTGGGAAGAGGCCTTTCAGGATGAGAGGAATATCCATAAATAGAAAAATATTTCAGCCCCAGCCAGTTTGGCTCAATGGATAGAGCGTCGGCCTGCAGACTGAAGGATCCGGGGTTCCATTCCAGTCAAGAGCACAGGCCTGGGTTGTAGGCTAGATCCCCAGTAGGAGGCGTGCAGGAGGCAGCCAATCAATGATTCTCTCTCATCATTAATGTTTCTATCTCTCCCTCTCTCTCCCTTCCTCTCTGAAATCAATAGCAACATATTTTTTTAAAAAAAGAAAAATATTTCATGGAGAGATATTACAAAGAGGGAAATACAGGGGAGGAATGTTCCCAGGAGATTTGATATTAAGGGGCAGAGGGGGCAGATTCAGAGGAGGAAGAGAAAGTACTGGGCGGGAGGTACTCATGGACAGGCAGGTATCCATGAAGACAAGTATCCAAGGAGGCACGGGATCCAAGCGTGGGAGGGGTCCATGGGAGAGGGAGAAATGCCCATGAGGGAGGGAGTCATTGGAGGAGGGGGTTCACGGGAGGAATATTCATTAAATGAGCTCACATCGCTGGGCACAACTGCACCACTGGGATCCTTCACAAGGAAAATGTGTTTGCTGACTGGGAGCCGCACCATCCAATTTACTTTCCGCCCCAAAGGGTTATAAACGGTCACCTGGAACTGGGGAGGGAGATCGGGGTGCGCATGAGTCACAGCAGGCCTTCTCCAAACCCAGCCACGATGCACTGCCACGACCCTGGGTGATCCAAGCCCCTGTGTGGTCTCCATCCAGCCCGCTACACTGTGGCCCACGGGATCTGGCCCAGAGGGAACCCTCAAAATAATTTGGCCACCAGTCCCACCTCATCTTCTCCCAGTCCGGGATTTGCAGCTCTCATCCCACCCATTAGACCTG